ACTATTGTTTACATTCCTTTATAGCTCGCGCGAACTGTAGATGTAGTTTTCATATCTGTATGCTTGATTCCGATGTATTATTCTCGAATTCAAAATCCTCGTTGTGAAGATTTAGGGTTTTTAGACGGGGTTTAGGGTTACAGTGCTTTGATTTTGAAGTTCCGACTATGTTTTAATTCCTCAGATGTATCACAAACACTCACCGAGAACTTGCCGGAACTTTGTTGAGCTATCTCGGAGAGGTTACTATGACAACGTTTTGTTTCACAGAATCATCAAGGTCTGTTTCCTGTATCCAATCTACCTAATTTGTACTGAGATCACTGTGATGATGTTGTTGTTTCCTTTGGTTTGTTTCAGGATTTCATCGTGCAAGGTGGAGATCCTACAGGAACTGGAAGAGGAGGCCAATCCATTTATGGGTACATCTCAATCTTTATCTAATTATCAATTGCTAGCTTTTGTAGTTGATTCCATGGATGTGTTAGTAAACGAATTTGGATCAGATATAGTTAAGCTATGATGACAAGTTTTAGTAAAGTAGATCCATTAGGTTTGAAGTGAGTGTACTCATTCACTCAAGGCTGATTGAGATTGGGGAAACCTTATTCGAAACTTCTGAACATGATAGATATAGTCGACTCGACTCACACGTGGTTGATCGATTGCTCGCTTTGCTTGTTTGATTCCGTGGATGTGTTAGGTTAGTAAATGAATTTGGATCATATATGGCTAAGCTCTGAGGGAGTTATAGTTAAGTAGCTAGCTCCATTAGATAGCAAACAGATTTAGTTTTCCTTTTGGTTTGATATTCACTCAAGAGTAACAGGGATTTTGAATTTTAGGTAAAACGTTATTCAAATCTTCTTGACATGATATATACAGTCCGACTAGCACAGCACAAGGTTCTTGAAGTCTTCATTGTCCGTTTTTGTTTTGATTTCACTGATGTGTTTCAGAGGCTTGAAACCGCAAAGCTTCTACTTTCTAGGTTTATAATGGATATTTTCATGTCCTATATTGTTTTAGCATTTGTGATATGGGTGTTTTACCTTGGTTGTTTTCCTAGTTCGAAATTTGAGGACGAGATAAAGCCAGAGTTGAAGCATACAGGAGCTGGAATTTTATCAATGGCAAACGCTGGTCCTAATACAAATGGGAGTCAGTTCTTCATCACTTTGGCTCCAGCACCGTCCTTGGATGGTAAACAAATCCATCTCTCTAATACACTAATTTTAACGAGCTGCCATGTTTTGAGATCCTTTGCCATATTGTTACTTACTATTGTGCTCTTCTCTATGCATCTTCTTCCAGGAAAGCACACAATATTTGGCAGAGTGTGCCGCGGAATGGAAGTAATCAAGAGACTCGGTAGTGTCCAAACCGATAACACCGACAGGTAAAAATGTACTCTTATTGAATCAACGAGAATTAATCCATTGAAAAACCAGGTAACTGAAGAAAACTCTTCTCTATTGTAAAATTTCAGGCCAATCCATGAAGTGAAGATTCTGAGAACCAAAGTGATCGATTAGAAGCATTAGTAAAACGTTTTTATGACATGAGGAAGAACCATAACTCTGCATGTACTGATCCTTGTTTTCTCAAGTTTTGACTCTACTTGACCAAAAACAATGAAATTACTATCTGTTATATTTCATATTTTGGGTCTTTCCTATCAAATCATCGTCTTCTCCTATTTCTCTATACAGTAGTGAAATACGATTTAACATATTCTACAAAGGATTTTGATATATACAATGTTCCTTTAAAAAATCAACGGCTACAAAAAGAACACGTCATTTGGTGTCAACTTATAACCTCTAAAATGCTATCTCAACTTCAAGTCGACACGAATAATGGCTTTAGCAGCAGCGACTATCTTCTTTCCGACTCCGGTATCCGTCCGATCTCCGGCTAAATTCCTTCGCCGTCCCTCAAATCCATTCTTGTTTCTCGTTTCTCCGACGAATGGATCAGCGAGTACCAGAAACGGCGGACGCCGGCAAATCAGGCGGCCGTTTGTAGCAAATGCTTCCCCGTTGGAGGAAGATGACGGCGTTTCTCTAGGAACCATGAAGCTTCCGTTGGATACAGATGTCGCGAGATTCGAAACCCTTCTTTTTCAGGTGAAAATGTGAATTCCTTAACATGCAAAGCTGGAATAGCTCAGTTGGTTAGAGCGTGTAGCTGTTAACCACAAGGTCCGAGGTTCGACTCCTCCTTCTATCGAATCTTAGATTATGTCTCAATTAAATTTTCAACTTTTTTTTTGCAACAGTGGGCTAATAGTCTTTGCCAAGGAGCTAATATACCTCTTCCTGTTCCTCTCAAGGTCAATTTGCTTTTCTATTTTGTGATCCATCAAAATCCATTAACCAAACATGCAAATTATATATCAACAATTGCAAAAATTAAATAAAGCTATGTTTTTATTTTATTTTAAAAGAGCAGGTGGATAGAATAAGTGGAGGAGCGAGGTTAGGATTCATAGTAATGGAGGATGAAGGCAAAACCGATGTTCCGGTTTACATTGATTGTTTGGTTTACCAGACCACAGAGAGTGGTTCAGGACCAGTGTTCATAGCGACGCGTAACGGGAGGAAGAAAGATAAGGCACCTCCTGGAGAAGAAAGAATCATGAGAAGTCTCTTAGGTGCTCTTAAAAGAGCTGTTGAAATTGCTCGAGTCACATAAAATTTTAGACTCTTCAATTCAAATTCAATACAATGTCGAGAGATTAAATTTCTCCTTTTATTATGTCTATGCATTATCTCTGTGAGAAAGAGTCCAACTGTAAGAAATAGAGTTCAAGACCACAAAGCAAAAACAATATTACCAGTTACTAATAATTGTATATATAAAATAATGTTGCAACCTTGTCAACAAATGACAGTTTGGCCGAGTGGTCTAAGGCGCCAGATTTAGGCGCTGGTCCGCAAGGGCGTGGGTTCAAATCTCACAGCTGTCATTAAAATTATACCTTTTTGTTTTTCTATTGCACAATTCATCAAACGACAACGTTTAGTTAGAAGAAGCATCAATATGTATATCTCTTGGGCCCAACAATTACGATTCGGCCCAAAACTCTCTCACTCACAAAGTCATAAAACCCTAATATATAAAATCGATTTATCAGATTCCGCAACCTTTCTCTCTAGTCAAGCTCTGTGTAGGCGCAGGACGACGAAGAAGCTCTTTCAAATCCCAAAGCTTATCTCCACTATAGAAGAATCATGGTAACTAAAGTTTCCCTTTTTTTTTTTTCCTTATCTCAGATTGAGTAGAGAGTACATAGGTTTCTTTTCAATTTATATTGAGGTTAGAAAGTATATATCATTTTAGTTTTGGATCTTGACTCTTGTATTGTCTCGAGGATGTTCGATTGGATTCACGAGCAAATGCCCTGGATTTGATCTCAATCGCTGTGATTTTATGTTTGATTTGAAAAGATTGAGCTTTTTTCCAGTTATGCACTAAATGAGTGTAATTTGAGGTGTTTATAGTTTGCTATGTATATTTTTGTATAGTCGAGGAGGAAGACAAGAGAGCCAAAGGAAGAGAATGTGACTCTTGGACCTGCTGTTCGTGAAGGAGAAAACGTTTTCGGAGTTGTTCACATCTTTGCTTCATTCAACGACACTTTCATTGTGAGTAGTTTCTTTCGCAATTTGTGTTATGATTCCATTTTCGTCTTTTTACATGATTGGTAGCTGACATTACATCTCTCCATATGCAGCACGTTACTGATTTGTCTGGACGTGAAACGCTTGTCCGTATCACCGGTAAGCATCTATTGACTGGGCTCTAATGTAATCCTTGCTCATGCCTTTCTATGATGAAATGTGAACACAGAAATGTTGTTGCTTTGGATTTTACTGTCCTAATAGTTTTTATTGGGTGTGGTGTGAGATGAGTTAATTAGTCTCTCAGTTTCGCTTGAGTTACAGTCTATGAGTGATCCCTCGGTTTCTTTACGGCATGGGACCTGTTCTTTAATACACATCTTTAGAATTCAGACGGGGAATTATAAAGTTTTGTTCATTTTGGTTTTGATTAGGTGGAATGAAGGTGAAAGCTGACAGGGATGAGTCCTCGCCTTACGCAGCTATGCTTGCTGCACAAGATGTTGCTCAGCGATGCAAGGTACTTACTATATACATAACTTGATAAATTCATTACAAAACTGAATTACTCACCTTGTTTGTGGTAGTAACTGCTTTGTGAACTATATATAAAACACAGGAACTTGGAATCACTGCCATGCACGTGAAGCTCCGTGCCACGGGTGGGAACAAGACCAAGACACCTGGTCCTGGGGCTCAGTCTGCTCTTAGAGCCCTTGCCCGTTCTGGCATGAAAATTGGCCGCATTGGTAAGCTGCATACCATAAGCTTAATTCTCAGCTTAGACTGGTTTAATGTGTCTTGATCACTTTTCTAACATTGTACTTTGTTGTTGCAGAGGATGTTACTCCCATCCCAACGGACAGTACCCGCCGAAAGGGTGGTAGAAGAGGAAGGAGGCTATGAGTTTTTGGCCTTAGGGTTGTCTTTATTTAGCTCCTCCATGTGTTTCATTTTGTCAGAACAATTTGTTTCGAGTATCTTAGATTGTGTAAGAGTTTCGGAGTTGAATGCTTTTGTTACTTTGAACAAGGTTTTTTCATAATCATCAACCTCACATTCATTACCGATCAGCCAAAATGGTGAACTACGTAATGACATTTTTGCTTCATCTTTTGAGAATATCAATAACATATTGCAATCTATATTATCTTATCCTGGAAGCTAAAACACTTGATTACATGTAAGAATTCAGGCAGTGACATAATCACCATATAAGACATTTAATTGTATATGCTACATTTGTATGATCAAGTTCCAAGACAGCACTGGACCACTCAATCTTCCCCCAAAGCTCGCTGCTTCCCTCGCGTTTCTCCACAGAAATTTCGAAGATGACAATGTTCCCAGCAGGGTTGCTGCAGAGTTTCTTGATATTAAATCGATAATCGTTAGGCTGTAGCAGCTCTTTCAAACCATTCACTTCCTTCCAATTCAACTCATATGGCTCACACCACAATATTCTCCCGTAGATACCACGGCAGAATAACAATGTCCCAATGAGACACCAATCGTTTCTGCATCTTGGCGTAGAATCTAAAATAACAATGTCCCAATATTGATGCTTCTTCTCACTAAACGTTTAGTGAGAAGAAGAATCAATATTTATATACAATGAAAAGGAAATAATTCAGAAAAGTAGAAAGGAAAAAATATGGATTTGATTGGAATTTGGTTTGTAAGTTTCATTGATTGATCAACAAGCTAGGGCTTTTGTGAGAGGATTTAGACAGAAAACTGATCTCAAGGCTCGATTGTAACAATAATGTATAATCTTAGTTAATTATATACAGTTAAAAGGAAACAATTCAGAAAAGTAAAAAGAAAAAAAAATATGGATTTTTGTAGCTGCAACTTTTTAAAATAAAAATCTGATTGTTATATTTTGTATTCGTAACTAGATGAAGGACCTGCATATATGCGGGTTTGTGATTTAATTTTTTATAAATCTATAGAAATAAAATATTTAATTGTGGTGAACAAAATTAGATTTCCGTTAAAATAAATAAAATCAAAGTAAGAATGTTACTGCAAAAACCATTGATCGAGAAGAATATC